GCAAAAAACAAATGTCTGTAAATATAAAAAAAAAAAACAAAAAAAAAAATTAAAACAAATAATTAAAATAAAAAAAAATTAAAAAAAATAAAAATAAAAAAAAAACAAATCTAAAAAACAGGATTCATTGAACCCAAGTCGGATTTAAGTGCACCCAATACATTGAAATTTATACTTTGGCAATACTTTACTAAAAGAATGACATGAAGTTTATATTGATTTAGTTCATTAATATTGATTAATGAAAAACAAGATAGTCATATTTATAGCTGAGGTCTTGAAAGGTAAACATTTCATTCAAGTTACTGATATTAACAGTTTTTGGAAATTATTATGATAGAAATATTAACTGGCCAAAAACTTTTTGATGGTTGCAATTTTGATGCTGAATTAGTAGGGATGATTTGTCATGGATTACGACCTGAATTTATTATAAGAACACCAAAATATTAAGTTAAATTAGCAAATAATGTATTGACTCAAATATGAAAAAAAGACCTACAGATGTTGAGATTATTTATAATCTTGAAAATTAGAACAACATTATGGTTGCCAATAATAGCAATAACTATTTTTGTTGAATAATTTTAGAATTATTGAAGTAGGTAAAGGTGGATTTTCTGTAATATATAAAACGTCATATAAAGTATATAAAGAAGTTGCAATCAAGATAATAAAAAATTCACATAAAGATAAAAAAAAAATTAAAACAAGGTATTTTTTTTTTATATACAAATTTATATTGTTTATAAGTTAATTGTATATAATTTTTTAAGTTAATTGTATATAATTTTTTAATTAAAGACATTACGAATTTGGTAAATACAAAGGTATGTTGATAGATAAAAATATCAGAGATTTTAGTTATGCGATATCGTTAATGATCTACCAAACATTCAATCTAAAAACTTTATACATCAAAATTTACATTCTGGTAATATTTTATTAAAAGAACGATATGAAGCTTATATTGAACTAGGTTCATCAATATCGATTGATGAAAAACAAGATAGTCACATGTATGTCTTTTGCTATATGTATTTAGCACCTGAGATCTTGAAAGGTAAACATTTCACTCAAGCTGCTGATATTAACAGTTTTGAGATTATTATAATAGAAATATTAACAGGCAGAAGGCCTTTCGACAGTTATAATTTTGATGCGAATTAGCAGCAATGATCTGTCATAGATTACAACCTGGGTTTATTATAAGAACACCAAGATGGTATGTTCAATTGTG